CGCGCCGGGACGCGCTGCCGACGCGCCCCCCCTTCGCCCCCAGCTCCGGCGGCTCGCGGAGAGAAGGTAACTGCGAGCTGGCCCGCGGGTCGTCGAGCCCGGGGTGGGCGTGGACACCGGCAGGGGGATCGCGGCGCCGCGAGGACTTGGCACCCTCCGCTAGGCTCAAGGAGCGGGGGAGGGGGCCAGCCTGCCAACGTCGCCCCGGGTGCCAACAGGCAGGCCCGGAGCGCTGGCCGCGGGAGCGGCGCCGGGACGCTCCAAGTTTTCGGGTTGTTTTGCAATGTTCCCGGCGGGAAGAGTGGAGCAGAAAATTGGAAGGTAAAGCGGGTTGCGGGAGGAGGGGGCGAGTCGAGGGCAGTCTAGGCTCCTTCCTGCCCTGGGAAAGGAAGGGAAGGAACGGGGAGGGGGCTATGTGTCGGAATGTCTGGCCCCTTGTCGAGGCCGGCGCGGAGAGCGGGAAGTGGGGGGGACCGCTGGGGAGATGGTCTAGGCACCCTGCCCCCTCCCCAACCGCCGCATTCCAGGCCGGAGCAGCGGATGAGGTCATCCCGTCCGGTTCCCCTCGGGCCAAGGCAGCCGGCTGCCCCCTTACCAGCGGAGCGACCCTCCGCATTCTAGCCCCGTACCTCCCAGAGGGAATGTTTTCTGGCCAAAATCTTTCCCGGGACTTCCAATCCCGACTGCCCTCGAGACTGTTCTATTCTTGCCGAGACAGGCAAGACTCGAGAAGTTTGAAGCCCATTTTCTGGATCGGGAAACTGAGGCTCAGATTGGTGAAAGGACTGGCCCGGAGGCCACAGCCGCGCGAAACGCGGCGCAGGGACTGGAACCGAGGACTTGGGGAGACCCTGCCGGAAGCCAGTCAGCCTCGCCGAGCCAAAGGCTGATTCGGCTCTAACTTGGGGTTTCTGGGCAAGTAGTGTCTCCTCCTCTTCCTCCTTCCTCCCCTGTGGCCCAAGGTGCTCCCTCCTACTACTATCCCCCTTGACGTCCTGAGAACGGGGTCTCAGCTGCCAATGTGGACAGCTTACTACCCTCTTTCTGGCCTCAGTTTCCGCGTCTTGAAGTGGCTGGACTCTGAGGACCAGAAGAAGGCAGCCCCCAGGGAGTTAACCCCTTGTTCCAGAGGCCAGAGCTGCCCTAACAGAGACAGGGTCCCGCTGCGCATTGGCAGGCGTGGTGTTACCCAGCGGGACACTTGCAAGAGGGAGGCTATGTGCAGGGAGCAGCCCCCAGGATGAGAGGTGGTGCCCGCTAGGGGCCTGCGAGTGACCCCCAGGTGAGCGCTAGGGTGCCGCGGCCCCCACACCCGCCTCAGCCTTGCCTGTCCCCCTCCCCCCACCTTCATTCCTCCAACCACAGGTGCCTCCACAGCGCCCCCTGCTGGCTTTCCCTAACGCATGGTCCCTGCTTCCGGCCCCAGATCTTGTCCTCATGGTCACCACTGCTATTGAGCAAGCTCCTACCAAGTACCCAGGCCTGACTGTCCTCTGTAGGGTAAACATGAGTACTCCTGGGACGCTGAGGCTGCACGGTGACCACTCTAGCACAGGTCACAGACACCGAATCTGCAGAGCTGAGTCTCCTGCCTCCCAGGCCTGCCCTTCTGTACTCAGCGGCTGGGCATCTGCCCGGACCCCAACATCTCTTCCCCGCACCCCTGGAGTCTTCTCCCACTCCCCTGGCATTTACTGTTGATGTTGGTCGACTCCTGGGGAGGTTCCCAGCCACACCACTTTTTTTGTTCTCTGACGTGGGGCAAGTCAGTTCCCTTTCTGTGCCTCATTTTTTCCATCTGTAAAATGGGTATTTGTGAGCATTAGCAGGTAGTATTCCTGGACGGGTGAGGGGAGATAGGCCACGTTGCTGGACAGCCGGAGCCCTGCTTACTCCAGGGCCAGGTGGGGCACACCTGACCACCAGCAATACCCAGTGGTCAGAGTCAAGTGCCAAATAGGCTGCCATCAAGGGTCCCCAGAATGAGAGATATTAGTGTAAGAATGTTGGCTTTGAAACCCAGCCCTGCTTCAGGATCCAAGGGTTTAATTGAAAGCACCTTCCACTCTTAAAACTCTGCTGTGAGAGGACCAGCTTTGATGCAGTTCTTGTTTTCCACGTGGGAAAACAGGTCCCCGGTAGCAGTGCCCTGCCCTCGGCTCCACATGCCGCAGGTCTCTCTACAGCAGTGGGTGGGGTAGAGATCTTTTGGAGGTGCCCAGAGACATTTGGGAGGTTGGGGCATCACAAGATTGGGGCAGAAGCTGGTCTCACAAGTCAAAGTGGCCATGGGTGTTGGGTGGGGGCTGGAGCCCCTTTTGCTGAGAAAAGAGGGGCTGCTTCTAGAAGCCAGGGAATTGGGGGCTGGGGAGAGGTGGGTGGGGCCCCATGGCAGACACAGTGACCCCTCTTCATGACATTTCAGAATGACACCCTCCCCCCCTCCTCCAGAGATTTAATCCTCATCTCAGCAGAGCAGGGAAACCTGGCCCATGGCAGGTACCTGCCATGTGACCTTGGCCAAGTTCCTTCCCTCCAAGCCGTGGCTTTTCCTGTAAAATGGGCTAACCCTCCAGCTTTTCGGGGCTGTTGGAGAATCAGATGACATCATGTAGTGGCTGGCCAAATGCAGAGTGCTTCATAACTTCAGCAAACATTCCACAAGGACTTCTTGGTGCCTGGGGTGCCAGGGAAAGGGATGATTCAGAACCGCCCCCCGGGGGGAGGAGTTAGGGTTGGGAGAGGATCAGATGGTGGGAAGGGAAGAGAATGTAGTCAGAAAACAAAGCAAGCTTTGTTTTATTGCCTCCTTTGTTTTTATCTTGTTATTTAACCTATTTTGAATTTCAAATAACATTTGAAGGGCAGAATTGAGGTTTTTATGCTTGGAGGTGGCAGCAAAAAATCTTTTTTTAAGTTGACACTCAGATCTAGGTGTTCTTGTTAAGAATCATTATCAACATCTATCAGCTCAGGTGCGGGGCCTGTGGAGGTAAATGACTTGCCCAAGGTCACACTGTGAGGCCACTGAATCCTCCACCTACCCTCACTCGGAAGGTGACAAGGGGTGAACCTTTGGCATGAAGGTATCACAAAGAACTCCTGTGATTAAACTGGTATTGATTTGGCACTTGGCCACCTGCAGAGCCCAAGCTGAGTGCTGGGACGGAGGGAGGAGGGAAAATCCAGGCAGTGGCCCCAGCCTCAGAGTGTGCTATGATCTGGAGAGACAAGACTGGGCTCCACGGGCAGGTAAAGGCTACGTGAGTCAAAGGCTCTGAGTTGACGTCTCTACCAGCTCTTTTTTTTTTTTTTTTAATCTCTCTTCTCATCTTTTATTCTGATAACAAGCAAAATAGCTCACTTAGTGTCTTGTATTCCTTTTTTTTTGAATTTTATTTATCTTTTTATACAGCAGGTTCTTATTAGTCATCCATTTTATACATATTAGTGTATACATGTCCATCCCAATCTCCCAGTTCATCCCACCACCACCTCCCCCTGCCACTTCCCCCCTTGGTGTCCATATGTTTGTTCTCTACATCTGTGTCTCTATTTCTGCCCTGCAAACAGGTGCGGCACGTGGGATCTTCGCGGACCGGGGCACGAACCCATGTCCCCTGCATCGGCAGGCGGACTCTCAACCACTGCGCCACCAGGGAGGCCCTCTACCAGCTCTCTTCATGTGACCTTGAGCAAGCTTGGCCTCTCTGGGCCACAGGAAAACCAAATGTGGGAACATAGGCTCATAGGTGTCCTCCAGCCTATGATACTGGAAGGGGTAGGGTCGGACCAAGAGAAGCTTAGAGAAGACTGGGACTGGGGAAGAAAGTGGGGGAGAGATCAGGAGGGCAGGGAGTAGGCAAGAAATAGCTTTTGGCACCAGCTGAGCTTTTTCCAAAACTTGTTCCCGGGTGACAAGGCTTTTGTCAAAACTATGATAATGTTCTTTCCTGCGGGCCTTCTCAGAGCCTTGAATATGCTCAGGCATGCAGTAGGGCATCTGGAAAAACCACTTTTGACCACAGGATCCTTCTTCCAGGAAGCATCTAGAAGGCAAAGGGTTCTGCTGTTTACACAGCAGTTCACAAAACCTTCACCGGGCACCTCCTCCCTCCTGGCCTTGCTGGAAGACAATTTAACCCACCGAGAAGGGAGGTGACTTACTCAACCCACCAGCAGGAGGCCCTTGGGGTTCAAGGGCTCTGGGGTTGGGAGCCCTGCTTCACCATTGCCTACTGTGTGGCGTCAGGCAAGTCCCTTCACTTCTTTGTGCCTCAGTTTCTCCTCTCTATAGAGCCTCCCTCAGGGCTGTCGTCTGGGTTAAATGAGTGATGAACTTAAGCCATTGGCGCTCAGTAGGTGCTTCATCAGTGGGCGCCGTATAACGACCACTCATACTTTTTACCTACACACAGCTTAAGTGTACAGCTCGATGAATTTTTGTGCCCCCTCCCAGTCTATACCTGTTCAAAGGCAACCACAATTCTGATTTCTATCATATTGTTTTGTTTTGCCTGTTCTTAAATTTTCTGTACGTGGAAATATGCGATGTGTCCTCCTTTGTGGGTCTGTCTGCTCAGCATTTTCTCCATGTTCCCCATCCTTTGATCGGGGATCTTAGCTCCCCAACCAGGGAGGGAACCTGCGCTCCCTGCAGTGCAAGCACAGAGTCTTAACCACTGGACCGCCAGGGAGTCCCCATTTGTTCTCTTCAGCTGTTATTCTTTGGACCCAGGCTGCCCCCAGGCCTACCACTACTTTTCTTTCTTTTAGGTCTCCACCCCTGGGCAGGAGAGGGGCTGTCCACATTTGAGGCACGTCCGGTGCTTTCTGTGCTCTTGGACAGAACACCTACAGCTGCTTCCACAGGGCTAGGAGCCAGGCCTCAGGGACAAACAAGCCATGGACTTCCCATAGCCTCAGCATTTGAGGGCAGCACCTTAGGAGAGCAGGGGCACAGCCTCCATCCACCCCCTTTCACCGAAAAGGAAGGAGCTGAGAAGCGGACCCTTAGCCCAGCCCAGCGCCCTCCCCAGGCTCCCACCGTGGGCATGGACCAGCAGCTGTGAACAGCCAGAGCCAATGCCGGGCCCCCAGGGGGCCGGAGGAGCCCCAGCCATGAACCTGGGCAAGCTCTCACCCGTGGGCTGGGTGTCCAGCTCGCAGGGGAAGAGGCGGCTGACTGCGGACATGATCAGCCCCCCACTCGGGGACTTCCGCCACACCATGCACGTGGGCCGTGGCGGGGACGTCTTCGGCGACACCTCCTTCCTCAGCAACCACGGTGGCAGCTCACGGGGCGCCCACCGCTCGCCCCGCAGCTTCCTAGCCAAGAAGCTGCAGCTGGTGCGGAGGGTAGGGGCACCGGCCCGGAGGATGGCTGCCCCACCTGCGCCCTCACCTGCTCCACCCGCCATCTCCCCCATCATCAAGAACGCCATCTCCCTGCCTCAGCTCAACCAGGCCGCCTACGACAGCCTCGTGGTGGGCAAGCTCAGCTTCGACCGCAGCCCTGCCACCTCCACAGATGGCCACTCCAGCTACGGTGAGGGCCTGGGCTATCTGCCTATTTGTCAGAGGCTGCGGCCCAGAGGGTTTGATGGTTCAGCCAAGCCTCGAAGTGAGCTCTTTTCCCCAACGGCATTTCAGCCCCCGTGGAGGTCAGGCCCAAACCCCAAATCATGGATGGAGGGCAGGGGTCACAGGGTGGGAACCTGCTCACTCCCCAAAACACTGAGGTTAAGAGGTGAGGAGATGGGGTTTGAGTTCTACCTGCCCCTGAGCTTCCCCTCGCCACCCCCAGGCTCTTGGCTGGGCCAGCCTGCTCTAGCCCCCTTCAATGGAAGCACCTCCCTTGTGTCAGAATGATATAGTGGAGAGGCAGAGAGCCAGGGCTCTGGATTCAAATTCTGGTTCTGCCTGATTCCCAGCGAGCCAACTGACCTCTGTTAAGTCAAGTCCTGGCCTGTATAATGGGCCCCTCGGGGTCACTGCTAAGATTCAGTGAGATGATACACATATTCAGTGTGGCCCAGAATCTGGCACATAGTAGGTGCTCAGGACACAGGAGCTGTTGCTGTGTCGTTATGTGAACAAAGGTTCCTGTAACTTGGCAAATTTGGAAAACCACTCGCATGGACAGAAGCCAGAGGCCCTTCCTGCCAGGGTGGGGAGTGGCAGGTGTAACCTTGGCTCCCCCTCTGGACAGCTCACCTGGGAACCGGGGCCCCTGCTGCCACCTGGTGGCCATTTCCTGCCCTGCAGCTTTGCCCCAGCACCGGAGGCTTCCTCCCGTGCTCCGTCTCCAGGGGTGATGCTTAGAATCTCACTGAGGGCTGGTCCACAGTCCCACCGCTCTATCTCAGTCCTGGTAGTCCTGGAGCCAGGGGCTGGGACAGAGGACCTTTGGAGGGCATTTGCCTGTCCTTTGGGTCTTGATTTCTATGTAGTCAGACTCTGGCTGCTGGTTCCATCCCTGTGCCCACAAACCAGCCCGTATACTATAGGTTCATGGCAGGGAGCCAGGGTCATACAAGTTCACAGTCGGGACTGAGAGTCAGGAGATTTGAGCTCCAGGCTTGGCTCCAGCCCATCAAACTCTGTGGCCCTGGGCTAGCCCTTCCCCTCATCCCAAACTGAGCCTCACTTTCTTCATCTGCAAAATAGGAATGAGGACTATGTAAATTTCCAGGGTTGACAGGAGGATCACACAAGAGACTATGGGGCTCACTGTATTGGAAAGATGGGGGAAACTGAGGCCAGATGGGGGAGTGACTTGCTAAAGGCCACATAGCAAGCTGGAGTTGGTCCTGGCTTTCCCCTCCCTAGTTCCTGGTTAGGGACCCCAGCTATGATCCTGGTCCCTATTTCTCTTCTAGGCCTGGACTCCGGGTTCTGCACCATCTCTCGCCTGCCTCGCCCAGAAAAGCCTCGTGACCGAGACCGTGATAGCTCCTTCCCCTCTGAGCCTGAGCTTCGCCGCTCTGATTCCCTCCTGTCCTTCCGCCTGGACCTCGACCTTGGGCCCTCTCTCCTCAGTGAGCTGCTGGGGGTCATGAGCCTCTCAGAAGGCTCTGCAGCCGAGACCCCAGCCCCAGCCCCTGCTGCAAATGCCACAGCCCCTGTTGCACCCCCCCCGACCCCTGCCTCAAGCCCCCCACCCCGTGGACAGTGCCCCAATGGGGTAACCCTGGGGTTGGGCCCAACAGCCGAGGCGAGGGCCAGCCCGGTAGGAGAGCGTCCCTGTGCACCTGCTGACATAGGCCCCGGCAGGCACTGGGGAGCAGGCTGTGGTGGCAGCCAAAGCAGCTGCCACTACGCTGAGATGGATGCTCGGCGGGAGCTGGTCGAGGTGCTGCCCCAGGCTCGGGCCTCTTGGGAGAGCCTGGACGAAGAATGGGGGCCACCGCAGGCAGGCAGCAGGGCCTCTGTGCCCAGCACGGTGCAAGCCAACACCTTCAAGTTTGCTGAAGCTGAGGAGGATGACGAGGTCAAGGTGTGAGCGGCTGGGCATGGGCTCGGGACCCCAGCCAGCCTCGGGGCACCGCCTATGAACTCCCCAGGCGCAGAGCCAGCCCCTCACCTGACAGCTGGGTCCCGCCAACGAAAGATGGGAGAAAACCCAAGTTGTCCCGAGACCCCTCCACACCTCTGCAGGACAGACATGGGAGGGAGGCCAGAGGAGACCAGGCTTGTCCTGGGACCTGGGTGTTCCCATGGGCCGTGCTGGGCCTCCCCGCGTCCCCCCACTGCCACTCTGGACCCAGTAGCCATTCCTCGGGCCCACCCGCCACCCCAGGCCATCCCCACCAGCTGGAGGGCCTCGCCTCACAGTGCAGCCTTTGTGCTGGGAAAGCTGCCCTTGCTGGGTGGGGGTGGGGAGCATAGCACACAGAGCCTTTGTCCCCTCTCCCAAAGGGACCGCCTGCCCCAGCTCATCCTGGAGTTGCCCCCAGCAGGGTCCCCACTGCCTTTCTGAGAGCCCCAGCCCTTGCTAAGGCTGCTTCCCCGACATTCCCCCTGCCACCCCACTTGTCCCAGAAGCCTCAGAGAAAAGTCAGGTGTGACCTCACAGTGGGGGAATCCTACTTTCCCGTGCACGCCAGACCTGCCTCTGGGTCCTGATTAAAAAAGGCTTTTTGATAAAAGGTGTCCTGCAAGATGCTTGAGGACCTGGGAGGACAGTGTCAGCGCCACCTGCTTGAGTCCCCTAAGCACTGGGTTTGGAAAGCCAAGGACTCCCCCATGGGGCCCCAGTGAGGGGAGGGGCCGAGGCATTGGGTAATGAGTAATTAGGCCGGAATGAATAGCCCTGCGATAAGAGGCCCAGGTGGGAGCCCTTATCTATAGTTCCGGGAACAGCCCCGGGCCCAGGTGCCTGGAACCATAATCCCACAGGGCAGCTTGGCACTTGCCCTGGTGATAAAAGGGGACAAGCAGGCAGGACTGGTGGCTTAGAGGTGTTCGGGAGCACATCCCAACCCCCATGTGGCAGTCCAAGGACTTTATGCCTCAGTTTCCTCATCTGTATCATGAGGATGCTGGGAGCATTCAAATGGAAAGCACCACAGTTCCTACCATGGAAAGACTCTATAAAGGTGGATTCTTTTGTTGGTTCTTAGCCTTGGGGGATGAGCACAGAGGGTTAGGAACAGCAGATGGGAAGCGGAGACCCAAGGGCTGCTGATTCCGCGTGACTGGAGGTAGCTGGGGGTCAGGAGCCGGAATCCGCTCCGGGGTCTTGCGTTCTGGCGAGGTGCTGCCCTCAGTCTAGCTTGAAGGAGGAGATGCTGAACCCGCCCTGCACACTCAGGTAGCTCAAGTGGTTGTGGCCCAGCCTGTTGGGAAAGGTCAACTGGTGCCCGTCTGGCATCTTCACCTTGAATTCGTTGTTCTCGAAGGTTATGAGGAGCTGCAGTGGGAGGGAAAGCATTAGGGAGGCAGGAGCACCCTGGAAAGGGGCCACAGCAGTGCCTGGTGGCTCAGATGGTGTCTAGGCCAGGGTGCCCTACCATCTTGGCTCTCCCCTTGATATCCTCCTCAGGCCCCTTCCGCCTTTGACCTCACCTTGACCTCTGATCCCGGTCCGAAGCACATGTGACTGTCCCGTTGCTCCTGCCCCCAGCTGCTGCCATCCCATGTGTTGCAGACGACGGTGGATTCATCAAAACGTGGGTTGAAATGCAGGTTCACTTTATCTGTCCCCTGGCCCAGATTAATCACAAAGCTGCCGGGGAAGGAGTAACAGGTGAGAATAAGGGGCCAGCCCTGGCTAAAACAGCTTGGGTCGCAGCGTTGACCACAAACTGGAAGAATCACCAAAGGTTGTGTTAATCGAGGTCTGTGCCTTAAAACGAGGGAGGTGACAACTTGATCAGACTTGGCACTGGAGTATCACATTCCATTTAGAGCACAGACTAAGGTTCCTGACAAGAGGGTAACTAATAGTGACATTTCAGGAAATGAAGGTGTCTATCCTGGGGGAAAGAATTGCTGTTCTCAACTATCTGAAGACTCATTAAGTTTGGCCATAAATAGTTGGACACCTAAAGTAGTGAGCTCCCTGTCATTAGAGGTATGCAATCAGGAGTTGTGTGATCTCTTGAAAAGATCACTACAGGGGCCTGAGTTAGATAGACCTTCAGGGTCCCTGAGAGTGGGATGTTCTGAGTCATGGGGTGCCTTCATTGGGACGTCTCAGACCAGAGGTATCCCACATTTCTGCAGCCCTTAGGGACCCACGCAGGAGAAAGGGGTGATTTTTCTCTTGGCTCCTACACAATGCGTCTGCCTGCCCTTCCCCAACCAAAAGTTGATGGAGATCAGTCCCAAGAAATGCTGACATTGTCCTGCACACCGGAGAGGCTAACGCTGAGCTGTAACACCTGAGGCGGAGAAATGCCTCTGATTCTAATGGAGAGAAAATAAGACCATTTGGCTGCCCCTGGCGGCTGTCGCTGGTATAATGCGTGTGAAAGGCCGGCCTCTGACCCTTCAGCTGGGTCAAGAGGGTGGTTCCCCCAGCAGAGGACTGGGCGGAGCTTCCGGGATTTCTCACTTGCCCCTTCAGCGTCTGTTGGGGGCCAAGGAAACTGAGCACATGGCATCCACTGTGAATTCTGAAGCCTCAGATGTGAAAGCAGCCCTAACAGAAGAGGAGCCAGCAGGGGTGTGGGAGGGGTTGAGAGCGTGCAAGAGTGTACAAAAGGCCCCTGGTCTGAGGGCACTCTCGTTGTCTGACCATTTCACAAGGCTGCCCTTCCCAGCCTGCTCCAGGTCTGTGGGCAGCCCCCCTCCCCCTCCTGCCTCACCTGCCCCCACTGGCTCACCCATCAGCATGTCCTGCCTCACCCTCCCCCCCACTGGCTCACCCATCAGCACAGTCTGCAATCTTGCCCTTGATCTTCAAGGTTGTCCCCACCTTCATGTCCATGTTCATAATCTCAAATTTCCCCTGCACCAACAGAGAAACAACCCACACAAATCAATCACACACGTGCCCAGCCCATTCACCAGCACCATCCCATCCCAACCCGGCCCCAGGTCTCACTCTCCCTCTGCCCACATGAGAGCACAGAGCTGGGAAGGGTAAGAGCCAGAGTGCTCAGATCAAAGCTTCCCAGAGTCCCCCTCTTGCCCATTTTGCTTCACTCTCATCCACTGCAGCCTGAAGAACAGCCAGATCTGGAGACATAGGGCCCAGCTGAGGGAACCTCAGTTTGCCCATCTATGAAATGGATAGAATGACTACTGCCCACCTCACTGTTCCCACACGTGTTCAAGTGATGATGCACAGTGCCCTCTGCAAAATCCTCCAAACAAGGATGTGCTTAGTTCTTGCACAAACTTGGAGTCATTTTACTGACAGAAAATGACTGTATCACAGGCAGGTCTAGGCCCATCCCAAACGAAGAATCTATAAAACTCCATAAGTCACATGTCTGAACATGTCCATCAAAATCCCTCTCCATACCTCACTTTCCTCATCTATAAAATGGGCTAATTTGATTTATTCACTCAGAACCAGTTGCCAAGCGTCCACTGCGTGACAGATGCTGTTGGAGGCCCTGAGGTTAATAGCGCCTCCGTTGAGCTGGTTGGGAGGCTGAGAGCTCACGTTTGTGAAGCCCACAAGTAGGGCACAGGCTAAAAGCAAATCAAGGGACTGTGGTCATTATGCTTATTTATTGCTACTACAGTATCCATCTGCTTCCTATTTTTCCATCCACCTTGGCACTGTCTGAATTTCCATATAGCAGGGGTTCCCACAACTTTACTACGGTTAGAGGGAGGCTCTCGAAGCTGGGTTTTCAAAGCTCATCATCCCAGCCTGAGAAAATGTCCAGTTTTCATATCCATGGTTGGAGGGTGTGTGGTTGGGCCACATAGGATATAGCAGCCACCAAATATTTAGAACACTTTATGGGAGAACATGTTTACATTGTGGGATTTCTGTTCACTGATTTTTTTTTTTTTTTTTTTTTCTGGAGGGAGCACACCTGGGAAGCCCTGAACCAACTCGTGGGACTGGGGCGCTTTGCTGAAAGTCAAGGGCGGTGTCCGGGGGTGGGGGGGGATCAATATTCCCCTGCTGGCAGCTGCCTCCTTTCCATGAAGATGGAAAATAATCTGCCAGTTCATACACAGGGGTAGGGCTGCCCAGTTCTCCTGGAGGCAGTGCATTTTAAAAGGAAGGCCTGAGGGCTTTCCTGGTGGCGCAGTGGTTAAGAATCCGCCTGCCAATGCAGGGGACACGGGGTTTGAGCCCTGGTCAGGGAAGATCCCACATGCCGCAGAGCAACTAAGCCCGTGCGCCACAGCTACTGAGCCTGCACGCCTGGAGCCCGTGCTCCGCGACGGGGGAAACCACCACAATGAGAAACCCATGCACCACAACGAAGAGTAGCCCCCACTCGCCGCAACTAAAGAAAGCACACGTGCAGCAATGAAGACCCAACACAGCCTAAATAAATAAATAAAACAAATTTTTTTAAGAAAGGAAGGCCTGAAAGAGGCCTTGCCAAGCCCAGGAGAGTAGAGCATCACAGCACGTCAGACCCTATGATGCCTCAGAGCAGGGTTTCCCAGCCTCGGCACCCTGGACATTTGGGCTGGATCACTCTTGTGGGTCTGTCCTGTGTGCTGTAGGTGGTAGAGCAGCATCCCTGGTCTCTATCCACCCGGTGCCAGTAGCACCCTCCCCCCAAGTTGTGATGACCAAAAATGTCTCCAGACGTGGCCAGACGTCCCCTGGGTGGGGGGAAATCTCCCTGCCTTTGAGAAAGTGGGTTTCGGAGGCAGGAGGCCTAACTCCTCAGATGGGCGCTTAGGGTAACAGCTGGATCACCGGCCAGACTGGATTAAAATTCTCCTTCAGCATCTCACAGATAGACAGAGAATGCCTTCCTTAGAGAGGTTATCCAGTCCGTCCCAAAGAGGAACATGGGCGCCCTGCCACCAAGCAGACCCTCACAGCTGTGTGCCCTGCGGCACGCACAGTCCCCACCAGATGGCGTGAGGACTCTCCTGTCTCCTCCTAGTTGCATGCGCCACCCACCAGGACCCTGGGACACTCAGGGTGGGACTGGGATGGGGAGAAGCACCCCTGCTGCCCCTGTACGTCCTGCTGGCTGCCTGGCTCAAACAGAAGAACCTGAGACCCCAAAGCTGCTGCAGGGCAGGGGCATGAGAAAAGCCGGGCTCGGGGTGTATCTGGACAAACAGGGATGCCCGTGGGAGGGGGCCTGACCCCCCTGCTTAACAAAGCCTGAAGCCCAGAGAGAGGCAGGGAGGCAAAGCTGGGGTCGGGGTGGGGGCAGGTGTCAGGGGTCGGGATCTAGTGCCAGCTCTGCCCCTAGCTGGCCAAGTGACTAGGGGCCAGCTGTGCCACCTTCCAGTCCTCGGTTCCCCCATCTTTAATATAAGAGGTTTGGACTAGGGGGTCTCTGAGGAAGGAGGAAAAAAAGGGAGGGATGAGATGACCAGGGGAA